CCCCAAAACCCCAAAACCCCAAAACCCCGGGGTGTGAAGTTCAAAATGATATTAATAAGTTAGAACGATCGAAGATGGCAGGCAAGAGACATGCCAAGAGGATATTTAGGAAGGACAAAACCTTTGCTCAGAACCTCTTTTGGTTAGTTAAGAGGTTTGACTTTTATGGAAAGAATATTGTGTTGACCTTCCAGGGGGAGAATAAGTATAGGACTCATATAGGAGGCATGGCTTCTATTGTTGTCGGGCTTATTGTTTTGTCTTATTTGGGAACTTTGACGAGGACTATGTTTGAGAAGGGAGATACTACTTTTATTAAGACTTCCTTTATTAATGATATTTCTAATGATAATGAAGTCCATTACCCAGCCAGACATAGTGATGAGACAGGAGCAGTGAAAAATCATTTCGATTTCGCATTTCAATTTACATCTGATGGAACTAATTATTTGAATGAATCGAATGCTTTCGGATTTGAAATTAATTTGGTTGAGCAGGTATGGACTACAGTGAATGGTGATGCTATGACTAGTAGGACAAGGACATCTATTGGATTTGAAAAATGAGGAGAGACTCATCTGAATTATGAGGATTTGGCTGAAATAAAAAGGCTTGGAATCGATGACTACTATTGCCCTCTACAGAATGATTATTCTATAGCTGGAACATTTTATTCAGCTAAATATAATTATGTTGAGATGAAACTGAAGACTTGAGTGAATGGGACTGTTTCTAATTGTCTCACTCCAACTCAAATAGAAACATTGCTAAATAAAGGAAAATTTTCGTTAGCAATTGTTAATACAGTTCTTGATTTTAAAAACTATGATGATCCTATCCAATACGTCATTGATGATAGTTTCCACTGGGAATTCTATCCGAACATTAGAAAGAAGGCTGAGTTATTTATTAGAAAGAACCAAGCTACTTTCAAAGACGAAATTCTTCAAAGTTGGAGTTCCAAGAATTCTGAGTTCTTCCAAGTTATCGATTCTAAGGACAGTTTTGAATCTGTATCTACAGAGGGAGATGTGCTCTCAATATATTGGAGATACGATAAGGTTAGTGACGTCTATGAGCGTAAGGTATATACACTAGGTGACCTCCTTGGTCAAGCAGGTGGATTCTTTGGTTCACTAATTGCAATTGGTTCCATTTTTCTATCTATCTTCTCATCACGTCTGTTTGTATCCTCCATTTTGAAGAAGATATACCAAATTGACACATGGCAGGAAAGGGAAAGACTCGACCCTGATCTAAAAGAGAATAACAAGGATTACCTTCAGAATCGAAGCTTCATATACAAAGATGATGGCCGAAGAGTTACAAAGCCATATACTCAGAGTGAGAAGTTCCATGCAGATACTCTCAAAACTATTAAAAAGTTCACTGGAGTTCTAGAAGATTCTCAGGACGAACTCAAAGACAAAGAAAAGATGAAGGATGGAATCCTGGATGAGTGTGAACAAAGTATGAGAGAAAGAAGAATTCTCAGATATGGATATTCCGACATCTTCCATTATTTGTTGTGCTGTGTGGTTTGAAGAAAGAAAAGATCGATGAGGCTGAAAAAGAAATTCAGAGATCACCTTTATTATGAGGTCGGACAAGAAAAGCTATATGATGAATTATAGGCAAGTATTTGAAAAATTAAGTTTATAGACTGCGTTACCATCATTAAATCAGTGCGTCAAATCAAACTTCTTACATCAGTCCTTCTCACTGGGGACCAAAAGTTTATGTTGAAGTTTCAGCGTAATAATGTGATTGACTCTTCATCATCAGGAACATCAGACGAAGGAAAGATGAATATTGTAAATCTATTGAAATCAACAGATAACCCTAAGCACTCCAAGTTGGTCAATTCTAAGATTCAAAAAGCAATATCTGACATGCGAACTAAACAGCTTGAAGAAGTTGATGAGAGAATCATTAGTGGTAAATAATCACCTAAATTCATAGGGATCGTTAAGAAGAGGTTTTCAGATTCCGATGTAGAGGAGTCTAAATCTGATTCACCACCAGGTGATCAAGAATTTGTGGGTAAGTCCATGGCAGAATAAGCTTGTGGGAAGAATATTTACAAATTTTGGTGACAATGTTATACTTTAACCTCCATTGATATCTCTATTTTAGAAAATTTTACATCTGATTGCAATAATGTTGTAGTTTATTGTTATGGATATTTAGTACCTTTATAATTACTACTTCTGCAGATAAATAATCTTTGATCTAGAAATCAAGGAAGCTAGCAATGAACCCAAGAGAATCAGCACAGGAGTCCCTTTGATAGGTAAAATCTATACACAATTTTTTAATTAGTTGGTGAATGCTTTATTATTAATACTTAAAACTAATTTAGAAAGACATTCTTTGGAAGATCCTTCTTCTCATGGGTCCAGATTGCAAGATAGAAATAGAAGGATGCCTAAAAACCCTTATCTCAGCTCAGATTTTGTGTATGGAGATAGGTCTCCTCCAGACATGGAGGGTTCCTTGAATGACCAGCAGATTCATGGGGGTGGGCTTAAGAAATCCAAATACTCTTACATCAGTTCCTAAAGATTCTTAGTAGATATAATTTTGAATGAATTATTGTCTGTGATAATAGTATGGATTGCTACTTTAGCCATTGGGAAGGCGACATCGAATTTCTAGATTCGAATTTGTAGAGTGAAAGCCTTTAATATTTTTATGTCTTTTGAACAAAATTCTGAAGTTTTTTAGAATGTGGTGAAATTTTTGCTGGCTTATTGGAAGGGATGATAGTGTATTAGACTTAGAAGAAATATCAATGGTTCAAGGATTATTTATTCTGCAAGCCTGTATGGAGGAAAGACCTGTATTATATTCAAAAATTGATAAATGAAATTGCAATTTTCAAGTGGTTTGAGTATTGATGGGGTTTTGGGGTTTTGGGGTTTTGGGGTTTTGGGG